CTATAACACTCGGCACATGTGGGTTTGCCTAAGAGATTTGATGAAGTGCTAGAAGAAAGTCACACTCTCTTCCGATACTGAGACTGATATGCAGCAGCTTGGAGCTTTTGATGACTTGTGGCATTGAGGTCTGTTGTCTGAAAAGGTAAATACAAGTCATGGTTAGTTAAATGTAACATGCAACATTGCAACACTTTAACAGACTCAGTGGAGGAAAATCATTTATTTTTACACACCAGTGTTTTTTCAGGTTGTTAATACAATGATAAAATGATTGTGAATAGTTAAGATATAACCCTTTAATAGCTAAGATGATCACACTTACATATGGATTTTGAAAGCCAATAAAACTGTGACCCTCAGGATGTTGTTCCCGCACACCTACAAACATAAATATATTAATAATAACAATACCCAGAAGCTCTTAACCACACATACACTGAACAACTCTGTGCTCACAGTGCAGCCGGTGGTTCAGTCTGTCCAGGGATTGGAGGATTCTTTCTTCTTCCATTGAAATGGTGGTGACTCCTTGTTGGTGTCTTTGGTGCAGTGCTTTATGCCTCTGTGGGTCTTTAGTGTCCACCCAACTCTGCTGACCATCAGTCGGAATTTCATCTTTACTCAAGTGACCAAAGTGGAGCAAGTCTGAGCACAGAAAACTTTATGGTTTGAACATTTTCACATGGATTAAAAAAAAAAAGAAGAAGAAATCTGTTATACCTCCATCAGAAAAGGCAGGTTGTTTATCTGAGTCAGGCTTCTGATTGGTTGGCTGCAAAAAAAAAAAAAAAAAAAAAAAAAGTTAAATCAACTGAATATAAAATCTATATATATGTTCTATTTGAAGGCAAAAAGTGTAGAAATTCTTATATATTTTCATCAGTAAGCAGAAAATGCATTTTCAGAAGTTGAAACCATTGCATTGATTAGTGTTGCTTTGTGCGTGTCATCCTCATGCATGTACCTGAGTGGAGTAAGACAGCTTTCTTACGCCCGAAGTTGCTGAATTTTTCCGTCCACTGAGTGCACTGTCCACAACCTGCCGCCTCAGAGCTGTTTGCGCTGAAAAAGGAATATGAATGTAAACAATATAATGATAATTAAATGGGAGTGATATGGACAACAATTCACTGTGTTATTTAATTCTGTACACCACTAATATACTGTATACTGCAAACATGACATTTGGGGATGTAATGCCTTTTTTTCTATTGTACTTTGCCTTTGTCAGTTCTAAAACAATTGTAAAGGAGCCTTTTCACAAACATGACATAATTTTTTGTGTAACTCTATTAGTTTTAGACATTTTAACATGCCCTGTGGTGTGACATCTCCTGTCACCCTGCTGGACAGTCACTACAAATTTGCCATGTTAAAAAATTCAAAATTCAAAATCTATAGTGCTAGGTATGTAACTGTCCCATCTTAACATCTTTTTAACAACAAACTGGTTAAAGTTTTTCAAAATAATTGGATTTTCCAAAAATAATAAAATGATAATTATTAAATATATTCTGTAGCTTAACCCACAAGGTCTTCCTGGTGCATACATGTCAGATATGCTCCTTCTATTTTTTGTGTAATTGTCTTAAATATGTGATTTGTCACAGCTGATACCCTTTGTATTACAGCATTCAACTCCTTATGTCTTTTTTGTTAAAATCCCCCCAATTGTCTTGATGTGTGACTCTGGTAATAATCTAGTCTATTGTTATCTTTGCATTGATATTACAATATAAAGCCAAATAAAAGCAGCGAAAATATACATTACCGTCTTTAGTTGCCAGGGCAGTGCGGACTCCCAACCAGAGCTCTGAGATCTCTTCCTCTGTGGGGGTGCACTTCAAACGAGAGCTTTTTTCACTGTGCCCCATCCCTGCTCTTGTGTCGTGATGACTGAACCTGGGATTGGATTTGGTGTTGCTTTCTGGGTTTGTACATGTATACGATGGTGGATGAAAACCATGATCTGTCCTGTATTCATTTGTATACACAGGGTAACATGTCTCAGGCCCTTCCCGTTGTAAGCCATGTTCTTCTGTTGGTCTGCTGATTTTAGCATGATCGGTGCCATATGGAGCAGTGACGAACAGCCCCTTCTGCTCTTCTGTCGCCTCTGTCCGGGGAGGAGGCGGACGAGGCATCACCAGTCTCCCATGGGCCCTGGCAATCTGACTCACCTCTGTGGCAGACTGGGGTCGTATGTGAATGCCCTTTCTGGTCCTTGAGGAAACAGGAGCCGCTTCAGTGCGCTCTTTCGTACTGGCTTTAAGGCCGCTGCTCTTGTTGTTCCTCTGCTGCACCTTGACCTCATCTCCATGTTGCTGAGGCAGGCTGACTTGGACCCCAACATCTGCCCATGCGTGCCGTGTAAAGTGATAACCATTGGGGACTGCATGGGTCATACTAGGCCCCGTCTTGATGGCCCCTAAGACAGTGGTGACGCCAAGTTGGTGGTCCTCTGAATTGTTTTTAGAGTACAACAGACTGGAAGACTTGCTGCGTATTTGTTTAATGGTGTTCTGCCCTTTGTCTTCACTGTCCACATGCACCTCGTCAAACCAACGCAGTTTCTTTTTGACAGCAGTGTTGTTTTCCAAGTCCCTGTTCTTGGCTCTGGTCAGTTCGACGCTATCCCGGATTGCTAAAGCTACTTGTTTTGTAAGGGTCAGCTGCTGTCCAGAACTGCACACGCAAGCAGCATCCCCTGACATATATTTGGATTGCTTTTTTAAGATTCCTTTGATAAATTGGACCCTGCGTATTCTCTGAGAGGTTTCTGAGGACAATGGTGACAATAGCTCCTCCTTTTCACAACATTTGAGGCATTTAAAAGAATTGGGCTGATGTGTGTTAAGGCATGGATGGTGAATCAACTCTGTGTTAATTTTTTTCTTCTTCGCTTTGTCATCTGCATCTGAAGTCTTGTTGAGGTTGTTTATGGAGGCACTCAACTCTTTCCGGGAGGAGACACAGAGGTTGTCTTTTCCTGCTTGCTCAAGCGCTCCCTCTTGACAAGTGTAATCCATTGTGCAATTATTTAAAACAACATTTGGCTTGGAAGCCCCAAATAAATAGTCAGTGCTGTTGCCATTTTTGGTAGGCAAAAGGATTTCTGTAGCGGGTGGATGTTTGACTTGTCTGTCATCATTGGCCTTGGGTTGTCTCAGGTCCAGCACAGACTCTTGTTTGAGAGAGGGGGTGTCAGGTTCTGTGTTAGTGTGGGGGGTGCTGCTTAAAACAATAAGAGAGTCATTTGTACTATTTTTGGTAGACTTAACACTACAGTGGTCAGTGCTGTCAATTTTCAATGCTTTCTCATTTTTTACTATCCCCCATGAACAGTTACTAATGGCATTCTTATTTTTCAGCTGTTCATAATCTATTTGCTTTTTCAGTTTTAGCTCATGCAGTTTTCTTGATTGGGCCAACGTATCACCCATTAGTGTTTCTGTTGGATAGGCTGGTGGCTGAAAGTGCTTCTTGAAGTCCGAAAGGCACTTGTCTGTGTCAAGTAAAAAGGCTGGAGACAAAGAGTGAAGATATTTAGTCCCATTCTTTGGTTCCTCAGAATCCAGGCTGTCCTTACTGAAGATGCTTTCAGAATTAATGGAGTCAGAAAGGGAGTCCTGAAATACAGAGGGTATGGAGAGGAATATAAAATGCTGAAATAAAAGGGCAAATGTGTGTTGTCAGGTAAGTAAGAATTTATGTTACTGCTCAAGGCCTTTAATACAAGCTAAGAGCAAAAGACACACTGGTGCCCTCTAGTGGTTGATTCAAGAAATGTATGTCTTTTTTTTTTTCTTTCTTTCTTTTTTTTTTTTTAACTTATAACGAGGTAGAAATTGTGTCCAAAAAAGGATGCATTTAAAATTCTTTCTAGTGTTATCAGAAGTATTTAAGATAGACTTTTGGAATTTTCGAATTACAATTCCTTCAAATACCACTGCAGGTACAAGTAGTATCTATGCATATTCCATAAGGACTTTTATGGTACCGCAGGCTACCTCTACCTTCTATTTCACACACACAAAAAATTGTAGTCTTTAAACTGATAACCGGCCTGAAATGTTGGAAACATACTGTACAAGGAAGCTATAATTCCAGCTATAGTCCTGCTGATCCAATATTATAATTTCTTACCCATTGTGAATGCAAAAAACTAAAATTAATGGACAATGATTTTTTGTTTTTGTTTTGTTTTTTCTTTTTGTTACCATCTTCTAGAGATATTAGCTATGACAATGATGTAAAGTGCGTTTTATCAAGAAGGGATGGAATTATATATTGATAGCAGTAAAATAGATTTGGCGTTTGAAAATATTACTATACTAAACTGCCTCCAGTCACTTTTTCAAATGGCACTTATCTGTTTTTGCAAATAAAACAACTTAGCTTACCCGTGGACTGCTGTCATTTGGTTTCTCCTGGATTTCACGTGTGTTTGGATTGTTTCTAAGTGAAACAAAACTTTTTTCCTGAAACAGTTCGGTGTAGGCCTCCATTGCAGACAGGGCATGCCAAGGGGAGGATTTCCCTTTTGAGGTTGTTTTGGGAGACGGAGTGTGACTTCTATAAAAGAGAGCCCAAGACAAGTTAGATCACTGTAATATGAATAAGAAGCTTGTCAAGTCAAGTCTGTAACTTCTGTAACTGTTTACCTGCTTATGGATGCAAAAGAGGACTGACTGTTATCAGAATGTAAGCTTCCTCGGATGTGGTTAAGTGCATCTTCTAGAGTTGGGACATTCTTTTTAGTAGCTATAATACACAAGGACAACATCAGTAACAAATTTTAGAAATGAGTTACAGCTAGTGTTACCATACGAAAATTGCTTTGATTTGAAAACTAAGGAAAGGGCTCAACAATGATGAAAAAACACACATCCTAGAATAACAGAATGTAATTTTCAGCATAAAATAATAGAGCTTTCACTAGCTAGGACCATGCCAACAATGACATAGTGTGAAGAAGTTTATTGATAATGTACAAAGCGGGGCAGAGATGGCTGGGTTGAGACTATGGGTGGGGGCTCCGTCTCAATCTGCAATTGGCCCATTTGAAACGGGACCCCCCTTGTAAGGGTCTTATGACTGAAAGACAAAATAGGGGATGGGAGGGTGGGGTCGAGTTAGCCGAGACAAACGGGGATGATGGGAAAGGCTGCTACATATAGGCTTCTGGGAAATTAGAGTCATGGTTGAGGTGAGTTGTGGTTCGCTGGTGAGAGGAGAGGGCGGCTGAGGCATGGTCTCCTGAATCAAGATTACTTTGAAACTGTTCAGCATCGATAGGCTACTTTTTAAATTTTAAAATTTTCAATATTGGTTTGAATATCAATTAGTATCAGATTTTTGATACTTTTGACGAACCCAAATTGCAGCATATTACTAACATTGTCTGCGCCTTTGAGAGAGAGGTAGATGTGCTCTTTGAAAGCGCTCTGTAGCCTCTTGTACTTTCTGTCTTCGCTGCTGTAGTGCATTTTCTCTTATGCGCTGCTCATGGACATCCCATTGTTTCCGTCTCTCCTCCAATGCCCTGAGTCAAAAACATAAGCACCCAGAAAATACTTTAACTGATTAAATTTTGCTAACTTGAAACATGAGACAGTTCCTAGAGATACTTTCGAAACACTCATTAATAAATTACAGGTGGCAGTCACAGACATAGATGAGAGAGGAAGATAATGTTATTTCACAGGGTCATGAACAAGCACTCTATTACTGGGTCTCAAGTGTTCCGAAGTCTAGTTTTTAAAGGTCCTATATTACGCAAAACTGACACTTGTGAGGTTTAAGCCATGTTAGAATGTTATTTCATCTTCAAAAACATATCTGGAGTTGTGTTTTCTTTCAATCGTACATTGTTGAGTAACTCTTTATTATTATTGGTCTACATATTCAAAGTTCATAATGCTCTGTTCCACCTAGTGATGTCATTTTCACAGCTACCTTTTACCCTTTTTTTTACTACAAATTGGAAATTCAAAGGCTGAAATGATCCAAATGATTCTACTGAAAGTGTATGGAGTTTAAAAACATAGTGGAGCACTTCCTGTATCACCCCATGGCATTATAAGGTGGAACAGAGTGTTTTCTTTTGTCTAATATGCAGGGTTTGTGTTTTAAACATGTGTGAATGAAACAAAACACAACTCCAGCTATGTTCCTGATGAGGAAACAACATTATAACACAGATCAGAAAATAGCATAATATGGGTTATTTAATAACAAACTACAAATTCAACATGACTTAACATTCAGATTAATTCCAGTGAACCTTAAATATTAAAATTCACATCAGATGACATTCAGTGTTGCATTTTAAATCAAATTAATGATGAATTAATTATGCAACAAGTTTTGAAAAAGACTGATGTGTTATTCTCAAAAGTAGCAGATGTGTGCATACTTTCAACAGCACATTCAGTTTGGTTGCTTAATTCCAGTCATATTCACCATGAACCCTGCAGCCCTGCACATACCAGCCAGTGTCTCTCTCTGCTGTGGCCTCCAGTTACCTTGAGAACAGCAGATCTATTTCAAGTTCTAGACTGCAATCCTGTCAAGCTCTCTTTTGCCTCTCAAAGGTGTTAAACCAGGACAGGATCATAAACTGTCTGCTTGCCCGTTTGCAAATATATTGCGAAATTCAGATGTGTGCATTTTTATAGATAATGACAAGGACAGGTAAATAAATAAAATAAAAATAAAATGAAAACACTGACTTCTTGCGCCGTTGGGTTTCCAGGAAGAACTTGCGCGCCCTCGCTCTGCACAGCTTCTGCTCTTCAGCCAAAAACTGTTTCTCCTTCTCCAGGTTCCCATTGATTAATCTAGAAGTTCTGGGGGAAAACATGCTAAAGAAAATGTCCTCAAATGAACTTGATACATTGGCTTCAACTACAGCGAATATCGCTTTTTTTTTTTTTTTTTTTTTTTTTTTTTTTTTTACATTTCAAAATTGTTACGTCAGACATTATTTATAAAACGGGAGCAACTTGTGTACTTATGCGTAATGGAGGATACGAGTAGAAAAAGTTCTCATCCAGAGCTTTCATCCTTCAAAGCGACAGATATCACGTCGGACGGTATGCTAGTTATTTTAGCTTTAACTTGCTTCTTTAGCCAGTGGTCACTGGTCACTGCACGCCTTTTCATTCAACATCAGTCCCCGCGTTGGATAAGTTTGGCAGCGTATAAAGTACAAACATATAAACTGTTCACTGTCTGAGCTGATTCCTCTCTGTGTACACTCCTCCGTGTTAGCAACCATCGACGCACTTCCTTGACAACGGCGATGAGGCGTAATCCCGACCACTAGAGTGCGCCCATGGCACCCAGGCGACACCTAGAAAACCTGCAGACACGCAGAAAAGGCACAACAATGGAAGACTGTTAGGGTGCATATACAGTCTATGGGTACATGCGAGGCTTTTTCACTGCAGCAGCAACAGCTACAAATAACTAATTGTCTTAAAGGTGCACTATGTTATCTGTTTTAGTGTTGGATATGCTACACGCTCTTCTCCATGGAGATGAACATTGGCTATTGTTTTTCGTCGGTTTCTTACGTTTTTTGCTCTGTGTCAAGCTCAGCTGACTTTTCCGTTAAGCGATATTTGATTTTCGATTTGTGATTTGCGATTTGCCTACTCTTATAATCTCCCCGAGGCCAAACAAAGCTTTGAGTTAAAGCCCACAAAGCTTTGAAGTTTAGCTTTGAGTTCCGGAGTTGCCATGGTAACAAGGCTTTATGGAACTTTACATGTATGATGTCATCGGCGCCGTGAACCTGATGGAACTGGGAGGTTTTCAGGTTCTAGAATGAGATGATGTCATACTCCCAGACGGGGCAAGAGCCACGTTTCCCTGTTGACTGAGGCCGAGTGTTGTTAAGAAGTCACTGATATGAGACAAACCTCGATACAGTGCGCTTTCGATTCGATACGGTTCAGTAAAAAATAAAGGCTAAATCATGGAAAATCTTTGTTAAACCACTTCTTGTGCAAAGTTCATATGAAACACAAACATTTTAATCCTCAAAACAGCGAAAATGTCAAACGAGTTTCCTTCCACTAAACAAACAACGAAACTGTAGCTGTAACAAAATCATTTAGTAAAATAAACCAAAAATACTCTTGGTGATATATCGATAGAGCAGCCCACAATATCGATACTGTGTCATCACATTAAACGATACGATATATCGATATTTCAATATTTTTGCACACCCCTCTACTCTTTATCACACTGTACTTTGCCACGAAATATCCAAAAGGTAAACGCACAAATGTTAAATCTGGTATTGAAATGATTAAAAAACTCACTGTTAGAACACAATGGCCACGTTCACATGATGTTTTTTAATTGTTCTGGATTAAATTGTTTGGACTTAAAATATTTTCCTTGGAGTTTACATGGAAATAATAATTCTGAATATCTGGGTTTCACGTGACATTACAGGGCGACGTTTGTCAGCACGCAAAATCAGATGGAGGGCAAGAAGTGAACCGACTGGAGGGAAATGCCGATGTGTTGTGCAGTTTACGGCTGTGCCAATTGTTCTAACCGAGAGAAGGAAAAGCGATTTTTTTAGAGTACCGAAGATAGTCGTCCACAAAGGTCAGAAATGGGAAAAGCTGACAGAACAACGCCATAAAAAGTGGATTACAACCTAGAGCCCGACCGATATGGATTTTGCTGTGGCCGATATGAAACCGATATAATGGGAGTTGGCGCTGCCGATAGCCGATATAATCACCGATATATTTAGTGATGTAAAAATTCACTGTAAATGTTGAATTGTTTAAAAAAACTTAGGTTTGGCTCTGGTGGATTTTAAATTGGGTTTATTTAGGCAACATTTATTGTTATTCTGCCTCTTTACATCATATTTACAGACAGTAGGTTGGCTTAATGGCATCACATTCTAGACACTAGTGATGGGTATTCCAGTTCTTTTTAGAGAACCGGCTCTTTTGGCTCGGCTCACTAAAAGCTGCTGGTTCTTTTGGCTCCCAAGTGGCTCTTCAGATTGTTTTGTTGCAAGCAGGACTGAATCAGGACTGAACCAGGTCTAAACCAGGACTGAAAAAGGACTAAACCGGGACTTATTTATTTTATGCTAAACTACAGTCAAATATGCTAGTTTTTTTAACTTTTATTTTCTTTAATCCTACGTACACGCAAATTTCTCAAAGTTTCTCAAAGTTTCGCTGCCGCTGTCAAACCACGAATCACGCGGCGTGAAGAGAAAAAAAGTGAGAGAAAGAGAAAACACGGCTCCCAATAAGGATCAGGCTCCCGTCGTTCCCAGTGTTTGGATCTGTGTCTGCAGGTCTAAACAAACACATGTGAGTGACGACTCTGTGGTGTGTTCAGGGACAGTACAGACACACACAGACAAATGACTCCGTAGATAAATACTGATGTGGAGCCACATATTAGGACATTTATCTGTCTTTAAATTGGATTAAATGAACAGAATGTAGAGAGTCTAAGCTTTATAACGAGGTATAACATGCCCATGTGAAATATCGGCCGATGGCCGATATGCCTAAAGTTGCCCATATCAGCCGATAATATCGGCTGATATGAAAAAATAAAATGTAAAAACTCATGTCGGTAACGGAGGGAATGGTCCAAATGAGTTCAGATTTGACATGTCACATCTACAGACATAGCTTCACTCAAATCTTTCATGTTTTTGGGATACTCCTTACGGTTCGCCCGTAGCACGCCGGCGAATAACGCCTTCATTTCCTGTTTTTTCGGTGACCTGTCACGGCCACAGGCATTGTCCTAGAGAACTCAAATTCAAATCACAATTGCGTGATCCAGGCCTGAATGTGATGAAATATGAAATTTAATAAAAGTGAACTCTATAGCGCCCCCTAGCATAGACGTGAAACGTCAACATTATCGGATTAGTACCAAATTCGGGACATAAATTCTATGTATGATTACAAGCAAAAAAGTCTATTACGGACATGGTGCATTTTCCACTATTGGCCAGCAGGGGCGCAAAGACTCCCCCAAAAAATAGTTAAAAAATTATTACACACACAGGCTTAGTCCGATCGTGCTGAGATTTGAATCACTAATGCCTGATCATGGCCTGAATATAATACACTATAAAACAGATGAAAAATGAACTCTATAGCGCCCCCTAGCATTGACAAACATCAACATTATCGGATTAGTACCGAATTCGAGGATTAAATTCTATGTATGATTACAAGCAAAAAAGTCTATTACGGACATGATGCATTTTCCACTATTGGCCAGCAGGGGCGCAAAGACTCCCCCCAAAAATAGTTAAAAAATGATTACATGCCCATGTTTAATCGGATCGTGCTGAAATTTGAATCACTAATGTGTGATCTCAGCCTGAATATAAAACAGTATAAAACATATTAAAAGTGAACACTATAGCGCCCCCTACCATTGACATGAAATGTCAACATTATCTGATTAGCACCAAATTTGGGGATTAAATTCTACGCATGATTACAAGCAAAAAAGTCAATCATTGTGCACCTCTATGACGAACAGGAAGTCGGCCATATTGGATCAAACATTCGCCGCCGTTTTGACTTGGGGGTCTACACAAAGATTCAAGTCCCCGGGGTTTGGTCCAAATGACCTCAGATTTGACATGTCACATCTACAGACATGAACTCACAGAAGTTGCCAAATTTTTTTGGGATACTCCTTACGGTTCGCCCGTAGCACGCCGGCGAATAACGCCTTCATTTCCTGTTTTTTCGGTGACCTGTCACGGCCACAGGCATTGTGATGAAATATGAAAATTTAATAAAAGTGAACTCTATAGCGCCCCCTAGCATAGACGTGAAACATCAACATTATCGGATTAGTACCAAATTCGGGGCATAAATTCTATGTATGATTACAAGCAAAAAAATCTATTACGGACATGATGCATTTTCCACTATTGGCCAGCAGGGGCGCAAAGACTCCCCCAAAAAATAGTTAAAAAATAATTACACCCACAGGGTTAGTCCGATCGTGCTGAAATTTGAATCACTAATGCTTGATCATGGCCTGAATATAATACACTTTAAAACATATGAAAAATGAACTCTATAGCGCCCCCTACCATAGACATGAAATTTCAACATTATCGGATTTGTACCAAATTTGGGGATTAAATTCTATGTATGAATGCAAGCACAAAAGTCTACTACGGACATGATGCATTTTTCACGGTTTGCCAGTAGGGGCGCAAAGAATCCCCCAAAAAATATTTTTAAAATTATTACAGGGACATGCTTAGTTCGATTGTGCTGAAATTTGAATCACTAATGCGGGATATTGGTCTGAATATAATAAACTATAAAACATATGAAAAGTGAACAGTATAGCGCCCCCCACCTTAGACATGAAATGTCAATATTATCGGACTTGGACCAAAGTCAGGGAATAAATTCTTTGCATGATTATAAGCAAAAATGTCTATTACAGTCATGGTGTATTTTTCACGGTTGGCCAGCAGGGGCACAGAGAATCCCCCCAAAAATATTGTAAAAATTATTATATGCACATGTTTTGTCCGATTGTGATGAAATTTCTATCAGTTATACACTGCATGACCCTTATTCCATTGATATGTCAAATACAGTTATCAGGGATACAGCGCCACCAATATGAATGCACACAATTTATTATTGTGTGACATAAAATTAGTTTTACATTAATTTGTAAAAGTTTGCCAGAACATTCACTGACGTACGACGAAAAGTCCCCAAACCGGGTATCAGATCGATCGGCCCGGCGAAAAATTTCATAAAATGGGCAAAGCGACAATGCCCAAAGCCCCACCACTCAACAGCGCCAGTGTCTTGCCCAAGGACACAACGACAGCATTCATCTGTGGGAGCTGGAATCACACCAGCCAACCTGTGGGTCAGTGGATCTGACCGCTCAACCTGTGATGTTTAGAGCTGGATTCGAACCGCCAACCTTTAGATCAGTGGGCGAATGCTCTACCAACCGCTCAACCTGTGATGTTTATGTTGAGAGCTGGATTCAAACCGCCAACCTTCAGATCAGTGGGCGAATGCTCTACCAACTGAGCTACTGCCGCCCTTTCTCAATGATTCCATGAGCTGAAATCATCGACCTACTC